GTGTTAGGGAGACAAGGGACAAGCAAGTAGACAGAGAGAGAACTGAAGAGAAAGGTATACAGACAAACCTCTATATCGAAAGGGAGGCAGGAAGACAGATAGTCAGTCAGTCAGTCAGTCAGTCAGTCAGTCAGTCAGTCTCCGGTAACCCACTTTTAGGACATCGGCTTCCTCCAATGATTTCGTGGAGGTCCTGATGAATAAACCAGAGTGACCTTCTGGGCCGCCGCTATATGGAGTCCCTTTTGTGTCTCCTGTCATGGCACCGAGGCGAAGCAGCCAACCCTTTCTCTGTTGCCCTCGCTCGGGCTGTGTTTTCACTTCTCTCTCTTGTCTCTGTTTGTTTGTCTATGTCTGTCTGTCTGTCTCTATCTGCTTGTCTCTCTCTCTCTCTCTCTCTCTCTCTCTCTCTCTCTCTCTCTCTCTCTCTCTCTCTCTCTCTCTCTCTCTCTCTCCCTCCCTCCCTCCCTCCCTCCCTCCCTCCCTCCCAGCGACGTAGAACAGATACTCTGAACGAATAAAAAAAAAATCCGAAAATCTAAAACGAAGCCAGTATGTTTCGAAACCGCGTGCCAGCCCTGCCTTCTTGTGTCTTAAAGGTGCCTCCTGCCCACTTCATTTCCCTCCCGCTTCACTCTTCCCCTTTTTGGCCTCACCGCTCCACCACGACCCCCGCGCCACGTGATTAATGGCAGCCGAGTCTTTCCGCTGAGGGGAGAAGGGCTCGGTCCTCGCACAAGAAGTTCCAGCCCTTCGGAATGAGCGCTGACGAGGACAGATAGACAGACAGACGTCTGCCGATATTCTAAGATTCTTTGGACAGCCGGTTGGGAGGCGCACGCACACTCACACGCGCACGCATGCTCTCACACACAAGCACACACATTACAAACAGGCAGTGGACACAACAAACACATACAGAATGAGAGAGAGAGAGGGAGAGAGAGAGAGAGAGAGAGAGAGAGAGAGAGAGAGAGAGAGAGAGAGAGAGAGAGAGAGAGAGAGAGAGAGAGAGAGAGAGAGAGAGAGATAGAGAGAGAGAGAGAGACAGAGAAGCAGAGAGAGGCAGTGAGAGACAGAGTGCGTGCTGTCAGATTAGTTAGATCCAGCGTTCGCCACGAAAGCTTTCTTCACTGCGCCAGTGACCTAACCTGAATCTTTTTAGCCCGGCGCTTGCTAAACGCCCGGGAAGACACGAATAGACACGAAAATGAACAATATACATATCCTGTACTGTGTCCTGTGTCTTCAGTATGTTATCATCATTTCTTTACATCATCATTCTCATCACGATCATTGTGTCGTTACTGATACTTTGATTATAACAGTAACAATGATCATGATAATGATTATTTTTTTACTGTTCTCATTTCTGGTGTTATTCTTATTTTCATATAGTCATTATTATCGTTATTTACTTTTGCCTACGGGCATTTTTTTATTCTTGCAATATTATTGTTTATGTTTTTTGTGTGGGTAAATTTTTGCCATTGTGTAATTATTGTTGTCTGTAAGTTGTGTTAATAGCATTATCGTTATGTTGTTTTGTCATTGCAGTTTTAGTTGCAATTGTTATTTAAGTAATTTCTCTTATTGTTGTTACTGTTGCTACAGTTACAGACATTATTACAAATATTACAGGCCTCTTAAGATTTATTATAATATCGACAGCTCTCAACCGCTGCTGTGTCAGTCATTGTTGCTGTTGTCATTATCATTATCACTATCATTGCCATCATTGAGTGACCTTCATTACTTATTATTACCTTTATTATCATTAATCGTCATCACCAACATCACCACCATCCTCCTCATTACCATATTTAACATCATTATTATTATTACCCTCATCGTCACCATCATTACCATCACCCTCATCACCATCACCACATCCACCATCACCCCTCTATCACCATCACCATAATTCTCGTCACCATCACCAGCCCCTCTGCCCCCCCCTCCCCCCCAACCCCGTTCCGAAGCGAAGGTTAAAAATAACGCAGATTCGGGGGAAGATTTCCGGCTGGCAAAACGCGCCGCTGCGATGGCTGTGCGGCGGCGGTGGGCGGTGCGCCGGCCCGTTCTTGTAGTAGTATTAGTTGTAGTAATAGTAGTAGTTGGAGTACTAGTAGTAGTAGTAGTAATAGTAGTAACAACATCGTCATCGTCATCGCCATACTCATTATCGGCATCATTTTCTCATCATTATCATTATCTTCATAATTTTTTCCTCATCATTATCATTATCTTCATCGTCATCATCTTTTTCATCATCATCATCATCATCATCATCCTATCACCACTACCATCATCACCTTCATTATCACCATCATCACCATAATGTCAATTAATTCTATCCCTTTACGCCATTTATTGACTGATTTACGCTGTTCATTCATTTATTACCCCTATCATTATGCATCATCTCCGAACTGCCCAACGGCCCGTTCACAATTCAAACGAGCTAATTGGGGGTAATTCAAGGTCAAACTCGCTAACCACAAACCAAGAACGCAGTGACTCAGTTGGTGGTTTGTTAGTCATGAGTCACTGTATTGAACCGGAGATTCAGTCGCTCGTTATGCCTGAAGAAACGAGTCGGCTGCGATGGAAACGTTTACCTGCTGACTCAGCTGATGATTAAGTGTGTCAGCTGATGACAGAAAGGGAATCAGATCGTGGTATATTGAGGAGTTTAATGGCGAGATCATTATTGAGGAAGATTGAATGACAGAGACACGCACGGGAGTGTGAAGACATATATATATATATATATATATATATATATATATATATATATGTGTGTGTGTGTGTGTGTGTGTGTGTATGTGTGTGTGTGTGTGTGTGTGTGTATGTATGTATGTATGTATGTATATCATATATATGAAAATTAAATTAGTTAACTCTTCACGAGTTCCTTTATTATACGTCTGAAGAGGAACTCGTGGAGAATTCGAAACGTCACGATTTATTTTCATTTCTTACTGTGGTTTTCCTTTTCATATTTGTGTACACGTTATGTGTGTGTGTGTGTGTGTGTGTGTGTGTGTGTGTGTGTGTGTGTGTGTGTGTGTGTGTGTGTGTGTGTGTGTGTGTGTGTGTGTGCGTTTTTATAGATATACATACATATGTGTGCATGTGTGTGTGCACGCACAGGGAGAGGGAAAGGGAGAGGGAGAGACGTAGAATGACCTGAACTTCAACAAAGCAAAATATTTATGATTATTGACATCTAAACGACAGGTTAAGGACAGCTTTGTGTATGTGTGTGTGTGCGTCCGTGTGTGCATGTGCGTGCGTATGTGTGTGTCTGTCTTACTGGTATTGTGCACCTGTTCACATAGAATTGGCACGAGCGTTAGCGACGACAATGCAAAATCGGCAATAATAAGGATTATTTTGAGCTTTGTTCCGCGGGAGATATCGTCCTCCTCCTCCTCCCCCTACGGTCACCCCTTCCCCTCCCCGTGGTCTTGATCCCGCCCGAACGAGCCAATTTCGGCGCCATTATTGCCTGGAGATCCGCCTGACCGCCCGATTCTCCCGAAGACCGGATTCTTTCTCTCTATCTATCTGTCTATCTATCTATCTATCTATCTATCTATCTATCTATATATATCTATTCCCCTTCCCTTCTTCCCTCCTCTCCCTCCCTCCCTCTACCTTCCCTCCCAATACTCTCGCCCTCCCTCCTTCTCCCCCCCCCCCTCTCACTAACGCCTCGACCTACCCCTAGGTAATAATAATAATAATAATAATAATAATAATAATAATAATAATAATAATAATAATAATAATAATAATAATAATAATAATAATAATAATAATAATAATAATAATAATAATAATAATAATAATAATAATAATAATAATAATAATAATAATAATAATAATAATAATAATAATAATAATAATAATAATAATAATAATAATAATAATAATAATAATAATAATAATAATAA